AAAAAAAAAAAGTGTGGAATTATAGCATATTTACAATTTTGTGTTTTCTTTTTCTTTTCTTTTCTTTTCTTTTTTTTTTTTTTTTTTGAGACCGCATCTTGCTCTGTCACCCCAGCTACAGTGCAGTGGTGCAGTCATAGTTCACTGCAGCCTCAGCCTCTTGGCCTCAGTTGATCCTCCCGCCTCAGTCTCCAGACTAACTGGGGACTACAGGCTCACACCATCATGCCCAGCTAATTTTAAAATTTTTTGTAGAAATGGGGTCTCGCTGTGTTGCCAGGGCTGGTCTGGAACTCCTGACTCAAGTGCTCCTCCAGCTTCAGCCTCTTGCAGTGCTGGGATTACTTACAGGTGTGAGCCACTGTGCCTGGCCTAATTTTTTCCCTTGACATTTTACTTAGTTATTGAATGTCTCTGTGGGAGGACTTCTACGTGCTCTCCCCTGTTTTCTTGTATGTTTTCTTCTACTTCTTGTCACAGGCTCTTGTTCATTTGTTTTTTTAAGAGACAGGGTTTTGCTCTGTCTTCCAGCTTGAGTGCAATGATGCAGTCATAGCTCACTGCAGCCTCTAACTCCTGGTCTCAAGCCTTAGCCTCCAAGTACCTGATGTCACAGGCTCTTTATGTATTTGTCCTACGGTTCTTGTGTAAGGGAGCTAAAAGTCCAGTACATAGAAGTGCTAAGTGAATGAAGATCTGTCAGGATTTGCTCCTTAGGCCTCTCTGTTGACCTCTGAAATGCTGTGCAGGTCCCTTAATCTCTTCTTGGTCTGCTCATCTCTTCTGTCTGCCCAGGAAGCAGGACCAGGGTGTGGAGGGTCTGGTAGTTTCAGGCCATTCTTATGTGTGGCTTTGTAGGGTTTTTTGATACAGGGTCTCACTCCGTCACCCAGGCTGGAATACAGTGGCATGAACACAGCTCACTGTAGCCTCGACTTCCTGGGCCCCAGCAATCCTCCCACCTCAGCCTCCCAAGTAGCTGGGACCACAGGCACACACCACCACGCCCGGCTCATTTTTGTATTTTTGGTAGTGACAGGGTTTTACCAAGTTGTCCAGTCTGGTCTCAAACTCCTGAGTTCAAGTGATCTGCCTGCCTTGGCCTCCCAAAGTGCTGGAACTACAGGTGCGAGCCACAGCGACCAGCCCTCAGGCCACTGTTACTATCATTGGCACTGCCTGCCTGAGCACAGCCTGCCCTCTCTCCACGCTCTTGAGCCACACTGAATCAGGAGTTGTAGGTTTTCGTTCATCTGCCTTGGCTGTGTCAGGTTCTCTAGCTCTAAGCAGGGACAGTAACACTTGACTTAGGACAATTATATTACTGAAATTCATGTAGTACAGGGGCCCATGTCTCTGATGGTTCTTTTTTGTTGTTCTTGTTTTGAGACAGGGTCTTGCTCTGTCACCCAGGCTGGTGTGCAGTGGAGCAATCATAGCTTACTACAGCTGCAGCCTCAACCTGCCAGGCACAAGTGATCCTCCCGTCTCAGCCTCCCAAGCATCTGGGACTACAGGCATGCACCACTATGCCTGGCTAATTTTTATTATTTTTTTGTAGGGACAGGGTCTCCCTTTGTTGCCAAGGCTGGTCTCGAACTCCTTGGGCTCAAGCAATCCTCCTGCCTCAGCCTTCCAAAGTGCTGGGATTACAGGCGTGAACCACCACGTCCGGCTTGATCTCTCTTGATAAACTAACTAATAATCATTCCCGGCTTTCACAACAGCCCAGGCAGATTAGATACTATTATCCTCATTTTACTAACTAAAAATTTGAACCTCAAGGAGGTTGTGACTTGGCTAAGGCAATGTGGCTGCTTCCACCTGGTTCCTCTTTACCTTTCACCGGAGTTTCTCAATAGTGGCACTATTTTTTTTTTTTTTAAGTGGTGCTGTTGGGCCAGGTCATTTGTTTTGTGGAGGGTAAGGGGAGCTGTCCTGTGCAGTGCAGCATGTTGAGCAGCATCCCTGGCCTCTACCCACTAGATGTCAGTGGCACTCTCCCCTAGTCGGCACAACCAGAAAATGTCTCTGGACACTGCCCCCAGCCTGTTGAGCACCACTGTCCTACTCCAAACCAGCTTTATGGAGGAAGCTCCTTGGGTTAGTTTGCATAGTGCCAAGCACAGCAGCGTACTTTTGGTGGTGAGCGCTTGTGTAGTCGATGGAGATACATAGAACTGTGGCCCTGTGGGCCGGCGGCAGACACCAGTGTCACTGTCTCTAGTGCAGAGTGGAGCTTGACCTTTGTTTTTCAGGCCTGGCCTTTTCTCCTTCGTTCTGTGCCCTCATTTTTCCAAATGCACTTCTCTCTGGACAGGTTTGTATGCGGTGAAAATCCGAGCTGAGGCCATGCAGGAAGCTTCAGAAGCTGTCCCCAGTGGGATGCTGTCTGTCCTCGGCCAGCGTCAGTCCGAGTTCAACTTTGCCTGTTTGGAAGCCCGGGAACACTGCAAGTCTCTAGGCATGGAGAACCCTGTATGTGAAGTGTCCAACTACCTCTTTCCAGATTGCAGGGTGATTTCAGGACACCGAGAGGTGGGTGTTGATGGGAGCCGCCTTCATAAACCCCAGTCGAGTACACAGGGTTGGAACTGCTCCACACCCGTGAGGCCCAGCAGTGTGGCGGGTGCTTTGTCCAGCCTGCTCTTCAGGAAGTATTTTGGTGCCAGGGCAGTGAGGTGGACTGAGTGCTGCAAAGCGGGCAGGAGCAAGAATGCTGCCCTGCTCCACC